GAGTAAGCCCAGCCCAGCTCAGCTCATGGCTCCAGTCCCATGCACAGCTCTGGCTGTCCTGGCATGGTGGTTCATAGACCCTGACCAAGGTGGGGCTGAGCTCCCGGGGCATCCTTGCTGTGCTCCCCCATTGAACAAAACCCCTTTTCTGCCTCTCCCACACACTGGTGTCTCACCCACCTCCTAAACACATCAGTGTGGGACTGACCTCGTGTTGCAAAAAGCTGATTCCTGGACGCTTCCCACCCCACAGAGGTAATGAAACAGGCTGCATCTGATTTCTTCCCTCCCTTCCCAGTCCTGTCACCCTCCTTTCCCTATCTTTGAGAACAGATGCACCCATTCATAACCATGCAAAAGAAAGTGCCTATTTGCCTTTCCAACTGCAGTGCAGCTGGTAAAGCACAGGAGGGAAAATTATGTTTTGTATGAATACAGAAATTATCTGCACTGATCTTATTACACTTGAATGGGGAAGCGACAGAAAAAGAAAAGAGGGAAGCGAAAGGCATTGTTTGGGCTGCACCGACGTAGCATCATTATTGTTTATCCTCTCCAAGCACTCCATCATCCTAATCCCAGCGTCTCCCACAGTGACAGGTCAGTAACAGCGATCTGCTAAATAGCACGATCCAGAAGCTGCCAAAATGAACACAGGCAGGGTGCAAACCTGGCCAGGCAATGCCTGGGGGGCGGCAGCACCTCGGGACATCTCGCCTGCAAGTCCCAGGCAGGTCCAGGCCAAGCATCCAATAACTCACAAACATCACCAGTGCTAAAAAGATCCACGTTACAGTGATATCAATTAGCATCAGAGCGCCGGAATGTGCTCTGAGACAGACATAAAACACAGGCTCAGTAACTCCCTAACCCACATCCTCGCAGAGATAGCCTTGTTCATCACATGAATAGGTCCCCAAAGGCCACCACAGAGCTGTGCAAGAGGGGGCACACAGGGCAGAAGGCTCCTCCGTGCTCCATGTGGGCTCAGCACCCCGTGCTGGGATCCTGGCTCACCAAGGCAGCAAATGCTCTGGGAGGACAGAGATCACAAAACACCATTACAAACATTACCTCCACCACACAACACTTGGTTGGAACAGCTTTGCAAACTCAAACCCTTGGCCTTCAAAGCCAGGATCGCAGAGGGCTCAGGACAGTGCTCAGCTCCTCCTCAGTGCAGCAGCAGCTGATTAGCCCAGATGACAACAGCCAATTCCTCATGCCACAGGCAACACAACAACTCCAGCAAGTACAGAGAAAACAATCACAAGGTGGAAATTCGAACACAACACAAGTCACCTGCTATCAAAACAGGGGACATTTGGCAACTTTCCTACTTAGCACTTGCTACATCAAGGCTGCTCAATGATGCTAATTAAACAGGTACCTCCAAGACAGAGCCAGAAAGATTTACATCCCTAATTTGCATTTCTCAGTTTATTTTTCTTCCCTCCAAGGCACCATTTTAACGGCCAAGGTGCGATTGCTTGGAGGAGTTTAATTTTGCATGAGTGTCATTTGAAGATGAAGGTCTGTCCTGTCAGCAGGTCGAGGGTTGCTCACCCAGGCCCAGCTCCTGCCCCCTGTTCTCCCTCAGCGGGGCTCAGCTGTTCACTGAGATTTTCTTGGTCTCCTGGGCTTGGCTTCACCAGCTGAAAAATAAATGATATGGGGCTCAGCTGCTCTCAGTGATCCAGCTGCTGTCCCGATCCAGGGGCTGGGCATGGATCAGTCTGGAGACTTTTTTGGGGGTGAATGAGCCTCAGAAATACCCAGCACCAGCAGCTGAACTGGGTGATGCAGTGCAGGGGTGTTAGTACAAAGCAAGGACCAGTCTCAGAGAGGTTCTCTCTCCACCCAGTTCCCCAATCCAGCCCCAAAAAGTGAGCCCAGCACGAAGCTGCTGCAGGGCAGCTCCCATGAGAGAGGTTGCTCTGATGGGATGGGACAGGATAGCTGGAAGGGAGGTATATAATTGCAAATAATCAAAAGCAGCCACAGTTCTGTGATAATTAGTCAGAGCTACCTGTGAAATCAGAAGTCAGTCACGCTCAGGGGGGGAAGATGTCTCTGCCAGCACCCTTTGCCCAGACAGCCCTGACAAGGCTCTGATTAGCAGCAAGTCACCACCCTGATAATAACTGCTTCTAGTGATTGGGCTGGTAGGAGAACTGATGAGAAAGGGAGGTGGTGATGCCTGTTTGTTTGCTGCATTTGGTCAACTCCAGAGTAACCTGGGAGGAGATGACCTGTAGCACCGTGTTCCCATCTGCGCTGCCATGGAATGAACAGCAAGATCCTCATCTCATGCCCCCCAGGCACTGCAGGCATTTCTAGTGCTACCTGAACACCCTGCTAATGAGAGGCAATGGGCAGGAAGGAATCTGAAAAAGCAGCTCAAGATGAAAGTTTTCCAGAAGATGCTCACCCATTACCGGCCATCCCGCGCCTGCTGAAAGCCTTCATTATGTGGTTGCAGCATCAGCCCTTCAAAAACTTCCCTGAACTCTCTGTCAGTCACACCCACCTGCAGAACAAGGTGTTCAGGTCAGAAGAGCAGCCTCCAAGGTGGAGAGGAACAGAATGATGGGAGGAAGAAATGGGAGAGGTGGGCTGGGTGAGGCATCGTTGCCAGCAGCCCTCTCTCCTTGAAGGAATCATCTTCTGGGAGGGGAGAAGAGCAACTGCTGCCAAGTTTTATTTTACAAATGAACTCTGCCATTTTGTGGCTCTGCCCAAGCTCTGCAGCTGACCTTCCAGAGCCTTTGCTGTCCAATTCAGTAATGGCAAGAAACACATGTCTAAACACCAGCTGGTAGCCCATTTGCTTTGGCTACGTTGAACGTGCAGACGGCTCTCACAGAGGAAGCACTCCCTTTCCCCTCAAAATAAAGCCATAACACTCAAACATGGAAACTTGGCAATTCATGGCCAGTGTTTTTGACTCAGAGAGATCCCACAACCCACTCTCCCATACAGTGACTGTTGTCATGGCAAGCTGAGCGGGGAAGGACAATGTAAGAGGTGGTTAGTCCTTGACACGCTCCATCCTTGGACTAACAGCAGCTCCCCAGCAGAACAATCCCAACAGCAATTACAGAGGCTCTTCTAAAATGGGAGAAGCACAAACAGATTAAAAAGCCATTTGAAACCTTGAAGCAGAATGCAGAGTGGAAGGGAACGGGGAGCAGCCAGGGCTGCACGTGCTCGGCGAACAATGCGGAGACGCTTCTCTGTAGGCAAAGTTAAATGCTCCCTGATCGTCAAACCTGAGAGTGAAGAGCCTTGGGAGGCTGTGGGGATGGCACTTGACAGAAAGACAATGGGTGCTGCTTTGTGCTTCATGGTTACAGCACAGAAAACCTTCCACGGAGGGGCTGAGGAGCAGACCTGTGACCCTCGCCAGTGCCAGCACAAGGGACTAAAGAGGGGCAAGATAAAAGACGACTTTCAAGTGCAAAATTCAATTACACTCCAGCCACATGAATCACTATTCCACTGGCTGGATTATTTTCTTTCCTTGCTGGAGCCAGCCCAAGGATTTGGAGAGTATGTGCAACCTGGGAATGGAAAAAAACCCTTTTCACTCTTTCAAGAACGGCAAGGAGTTGTTACTAAACAAAAGCTTTATTGTTTCCAGTAGTAAAACGCTACATAAAAGTTGTAAGGGATGGAGACGAGAACAACAAAATAATAAACACAAATGACCAGAGCAGACTGAGCACATTCACTGAGCCTTTCTTGCTCACACTGAGCCAACTGAAAACACAGTCAACTGGTACAGGTTTAGGATAATATCCCAACAAAAGCTACAAAACACAACAAAGGGTAACACCACAAAGAAAAAAGTAGGTCTTCAATAGAAAATAGTGCACAGAGCTGCAAACCTTCCTCTATCACATTCAGATGTGCCTGGATCACATCCTCCATGGCCAGATCCTTCCCTCGACCCAAGAGGAGTCTTTCCATAGGTGACTGAACAGTTCAAGTGGAATTACCCCACGGAGTTAAATTATAGAGGTAAGAAAGAAAGGTTTCCAGTCTCACTGATACCAGAGCAGTCCCAAATTTATCTCTGAGAGTCTCTTATAAAACCTGGTCTCAGTTAAGAATCAAGCTCATGCCTCAAAGTGGCACAGCAAGCCGGTGAGGATTACCAGGCTCCTGTGCAGAGCTGGCAGCCCACGGTGTGGTAAATGGCTGTGGGAAGTGAGAGTGGGAATGGAAACACATCTGACCTGCCTGCACTGCCCAGGAGCGAAGCACAAGGAACACAAGAAGAGTTGGAAATGACACGCTCAATTTTAAAAACCCTTTCTAACTCAGAGTTTTTGAAGACAAAGTAACAGGTTTAAAGAAAATAGAGTCAATTTTTAAATGTCTTCTTTCCTTCTCCTTCTGCTATAGAATTAACTTAGGCTGGCAGGCCAGGCTGTCTGAGGCACTGCAGAAATGAGAGCGTGAGCAAGACAAGCCTCACTTGCACTGTCAAAAGCTTCAAGGCAAAACAGGACTTTTTTGGTGGCAAAACACTTCTGAAATTGAGGACCCTACAGCTCTCAGGAGAAACAGCATGACTCCAGCTCTGAAATCATACCAGCACTTCAGCAAAAGCTGACATTTGGAGTTACTTTTTCAGAAATAGCCAGTAATTTTGGCAATTCTCCTTCCAGAGATGCAGCTGGTCGAGTTTCAGTGGCCAGGTTAACAGCACAGATGACGCCACAAAGCATCCCCCAGTGGAGAACCACATCCCTTGGTCTCTCTAACACCGACATTGCAATGCCCACGTTCAGTGGCTCCTCTTTCTGCCATCCCACAAAGGTTTTGCTTTCATTTGTAAAAGGGCAGGAACAGATCACAAAGGAAGAGCTGGAAGCGTTTTCCCAGCAACCTGCCATAGCACATTAACTGGAAAAGCAGTGAGGGAAGGGTCCTCTGCTGGACCATGTTCATTTAAAAAGAAAGCCAAGGATTGATTTCCGATCTCCTGCTAGAGTGTTCCAGCACCCAATCCCATTTATCTTCATACTGCAGCCATTTGTAAGAACATACACTACCTGCACACAAAGCGCCCAGCAGCAAAGGAGAACAACAAAAGAGTAATAACCAAGGGAAAAAACTGACATTAATGGGCACAAATTGCCTTTAACTCCGCGATTTCAGAGGGAAGTTTTTGGAATCCTTTGTTTCTTCATAATAGACAGGTCAGCTCCAAAGCATTTAATAAAATCCACAGACTCCTACCAGACTAGTGTGGGTTTTGTTCAGGTCTTCAAAGATCTAATTGCTCTAGAGATGTCAGGTAATTTGATTTCTCTTATTTGTCAGGCCTTAGAGGGAAATTGTCCATCGTGGAGAATAAGCAGGACCGGGGCAGGCAGTTTTCAACAGCCTGACTCATGATGACACCATCACAGTCAGCCAAGATGCTCAAGACTTGCAGGAAAAAGGTAAAAGCAAGGCCCTTGCTCAGGCAAGAGATGACAAGTTGTGCAGGGGGGAGGAAAATCTGTGGAACTTAACAAGATAAAGTAATTTGAAAGCTTTTTTATCCAATTTGGGTGTGCAAAGGCAGCCAACTGGGCCATGGGGTGAGGGGTGTTCTCCCACCAGGAGCTGCAGCAAACGCACACTGCCCATGATCCCACCACTGCCAAAGGATCACCCTCACACGGGACACACACAGGCACAGTGCACAGACAGGAGGACCAAACAAATCATAGCAAATTTCTTTGGGTGTTTCTTTACTTACTCCAGTGTCCCCCTGAGCAGACATAAAGAGTGTCACAGAGAGAGACTGCAGTGGAAGTGAGTGTGATCTCAGCCTCACTGGCTGATTCCAAATGCCTCCACCACCTCAAACCACAACAACAATGACAAAAAACACCAGGGGTGACACCCTGCCCGTAAGAGTCAAGTGCAAATCAGAGTCCCAGTCTCACTGTTGGTGTTCACAGAGGGAAATCCACCCCTGGGCTTAAAAGCAGTAGAAGGGCCACGGTCTCTTCACACCCCGTTTCAGGGGCATAGTGGTGAGTTTCCCTCTCTCCTGAAGATTTCAGAGCCAAGCCTGCGAGGACAGGAGCTGAGGCTGGGCTTGGCAAGCCAGGAACAGCGGAGCTGTCACACGTTTCTTCAGCTCCAGCGGGCACTTCGTGTGTCCCTTCCAGCAAACCCCACGGCAGCACCACAGAGCAGGGCACCCCTCCCCGAGCAGCACCCCAAAGTGGGGTCAGCCAGCAGGAGAGGAGACCAGACCGAGCCATCAACCAGGTCAGTGAGGCAGGGAGGACAGGCAGGTGCTTTCCCAGGTGTCATCGTGTTGCCAATGCCTGTGGAAGAGCCGGAATCATAAAGTTACCGCCGGCAGCAGTCGTTGTCTGGAGTGAGGTCTGAGGAGTGGGCAAGGGGTGAGTGTTGGGTCCAGGCAAAGCAGCTCCATCTTCACCTCCGTCAGCATCGTGTTCTGGTGCGGACACAGCGTTTGCCTTCAAAATACATAAAGACAAAAGGTTTGTTTGGAAAGCAGCGAAGGGGAGATTGCTGACAAAGTTGTTTTACATTGCTTTTGCGTGGTTGGTGCCATTTTAAGAGCTTCCTACAAATAATAAAGAGAATATCTATGCATCATTAGTCCACACTCTGTCAGCAGTAAGGGTCCATTAAACTTGATTAAAGAAAGAAAAGACACGGGGAGAGAAATGTGGGTGGAAGGAGAAAGGAGTGGTACTGCTAGAACTGGTCCTCTGGCACGTGCATCTCCCAAAGGGCTGGGTCAGACAGAAAGCTAAGCCTCAGCTCCCAAGGACTTCTAAACCAGGTGACAGAGTAGATCTTCCATGTGACTCTCCTGCCCTCTGTGTGCCTGGGACATGAACAGGAGCCCCAGCATTCCCATGGCTGGGGATGGGCACAGGACAGCCGTGCTCTGCCACTGAGGGCACTCGGGCACACGGCAACTAAACAAACCTGAGCTGATCACTTCAGCACCCCTGGCAAAACTCAGGCTCTGCTGGGACACGCTGCTTCTCCTCCTGGACAAAGGACAGGGCAGTCACTGCATTCATGTGAAATGTTCAAGGCACAAGCAGTCCGACAAATTCCTCCCACCAGCTGCCACCTGACATCCCAGTTTGAAAGATAACCTCCCGAGCCATAAAACTTCCCAATGTGTTTACAGAGGCTTCAAAACCCAGACTTTTAACTTCTGTATTACTGACTTCCCCTGCTCTTTCCTTTGTGCTTTGTTTTGAAAGATCACATCAACTATTGCCCTTGGTGCTTTGTGCAAAATGCTGAATAGAAAGTTGGAAGCGTGAGGAGTAAACGTATTGCAAAGGGCAGAGAATAAGTCTAAGCAGGTGGGGGCAGGAGGCCAGACAGGCTGTTTGATCAAAGACCAAAGAACAGACCTCTGCAATGTGAAAGAAGGCACAAAAATAGGAGTTTCATCTTCAGCAGCAGACTTGTTTCCAGATATATTGAGTGAAGGAGGCAAGAGAATGAATCTTTGTCATCCCTCGATTTTCAAGGAAAAAGCCTTCAATTTAAAACTCCATAAAGAATTACAGAAATAGGGAAAGTAATTTATTTTTTAGTAACTCCAGCCTTTATTCACTGAACTTCAAGGCGGGCTTAAAAGAGCTGAAAATGTTTTGGTTCTACCACTTGAGGATGAAAACGTTTTAATTCCCTAAAACACGGAAGGGGGCACATGCTTCTCCCGAGGTTCATATTTATAAACGCTTTGTATCTGGAATGCAAACCTTGAATCACTTCCTAACGCTGTCACTACCCAAAGACATGTTTTATTTATAAATACAGCAGGACCAGTCGGTGCTCTGCGGTGCCGGTACGAGGAGGCAGAGACAGCTCAAAGCTTCTCAGCCATGAAGGCACAATTCAATTTTTTTTGCACTCCGTGGCAGGCAGACAACTTATCCTCCTCGGCAGCAGGAAAACTCAATCCCATGGCAGTGGCAGCAAGCTCTGAGCAAAGCAGGGGGGTGAAAGAGTGGTGCCCAGAGATCGATGAGGCAGCCAGTGCAGGAGGGGAGAGGGTGGGTGTGGGTCTGTCCTCCAGATCTGACTCCCCTGTCCTTCCTAACCCATGTCCAAAGTGCAGGCAGAGGGAGCAAGAGCAGGGATCACCCACCTCTGCCACCCCACTGCAGAGCCAGCCCTGGCATCACATGGATAAGGGAGCAGAGCAGCCTGAAAACATTCAAGCAACTTTCTCACCAAGCACAGGAAAACAAAAGTCAACTCCCCAAAGACTGCCATGAAGCAAGTCATTACAGAAATTACTATCCCATTTAGAGCCTAATTACTGTTAGGACAGATTTCTTTTTTCCTACATGGAAGGGAGCAGTCAGACCCACTGAAGCAAAATGTTACCTCCTCATCGTCCCTGAGGGAGCAAAACAGACATCTGAGAACCAGAATGGAAGGGAAAATAGAAGTTAATGCCTTAACTTCAAAGATGCCCTGAGAATTTCCTGCCACAAAAATAATGCCAAATGGCTCTGCCTGCCTCCTGTATTAACAGCTCACATATTTATGAGAAAAGTGGATGCCTACCTCAGCTGAGGAGGCACTGAGCCACGGAGTGACACCACCTCATTTCTAAATCCAGTCAGTTCCTAAAGGACAGGGCATAAATCTCCTCAAATTAAGAAAGCTGGAAGCAGCATTCCCTGCCCATCTCCCTCAGCCACAGGCCCTTTTCTCAGCTCTGCTCAGCCTCTCCCAGCACAACAGCTACAAAGCAGCTAAAGGGAATATCCAGGAGCTACAACTTCAGCACCCTGGGAGAAGGGTCCAGGCTGGACCTGCTGACATCTGGGGGTCCTTCAGCAGGTCTCACCCCGTGACTCCAAGCCACAGAATTTCTTACACCCCACCAGGCACTGCCATCGTGGTCTCAGCTCCCCAGACTCAGCCCCACCCCTGTTTAACGTGGCTCTGTTTAACTGCCAGCTGCTGCACCGCTCTTTAAGTATTCATGATTTAGACAACACACTGGCAAACAAGCAGAGACGGGGACACTGTGATTTGCACTCGGATGGATGCTGCTCACTCATTAAGCTTCTCTCGTGGCTGCTTCTCCAATTTCCTGTTTTCAGCAGAAATTAGAGCTTTCTCCAGCCCCACAGCCCGTGTCAGGCTCATTCACCATTCCCTACCAGCAAGCTGTTCAGGAGACCCATGGAATAGCCAAGAGGATTGACCCATTTCTGGGACAAGATCCTCACAGGACACTGAGGACCCCATTAACTGGGGCCCATCAATGTAGAACTTGCTACTGATCTGAGGAGAATTGTCTTTTGCTTAATTTACCCCCTGCAGCAGCCCCAAGCTCAAACATGTTATATCTCCATTAAAAACTCTTCACGGGCTAATGAAAACCACTGTAGGTTATTGATTATTTCCTTGTTTCATTCTGTTTAGCATTCCCTTTCCTTAATCAAAATGTCATAATCAACAATAGTGAGGATTGTGCTCCCTCTTAACTGAGGCATCTCTTAACATCAGCTGTACAGCCAGAACAAGGTGAGTCACCTCTCCCTAGCTGGGAGCAAGTAAGGGGAAAAAAGGAAGATTGTGCTTCTTCCCCGTGTGCAAATTTAATTTTCTTTAGGATAAAACATTCTTCAGGAAAATGAGCGCGTGACCTTCCTCTTAAAAGCTATCACGTCAGAGCAGGCACCTCCAGGAACTGGAGCTTCAGAAGAAGAAACACCAGTCCCTCAGAAAAGGCTGCTTTTTGAAAGGGTTTTGAGAGCAGGTGGCTGAAAAAATAATATAACTGGCAGCCTCTCAACTCACCACTCTTCTGAAACTTTGGCTCATGGGCTGAGGTTGCCTAAATCCCAGTGCAGCTCTGACAATGAGTCATTTTATGACAAACCCCAGGCTTCATTATCTGCCTCACCAAACCCCAGCCGGAGCCGGAGCCACGCACTGGAAACCTACAACCTCTTCTTAATAGCTCCTTGTTTTCCCCTGGCCACACGACTCGGCTTGGCCTTCAGGCTTAAAGAGCTAAGGACTGTGAGAGCAGCTGCATTTGCAGCACCACTCCCTAATTCCCTGTTCTGGATGTGGCCTGGGATTTAAGGATGCTTAAGTGCTCTGCGAAGTCGCACTTGAGAGCGGAATTAGAGCAGAGGTGAGAAAAAGAAGCGGAAAGAAAGTCACCGGTAGAACAACACCTGAGGTGATAATATGGAGTAAAAATTGCTCCTGACATAGTGTTATAAAGATGCAGAGCCCTTCAGAGAAACTGCAGCAAAATCTTCTTTTAATGTCCCCATTCTGCAGCTGAGGATCAGCAATTTAAATAGCAAAGGATCCTTGTCCCTTGCTCTGCTTTTGGGTCAGGGCAGACCTCGGGCACTGCCCCACAGGCAGGGAGATGCTGTGAAGGGTTTTGCCAGTACTGACATCCAGCATCAACCACCTCCACCACTCCTTAAAGAGATGAACAGCAAGAGCAGCCCCTGCTTTTTGGCTGAGTGGCATCCAAAGGGATCCATCATGAAGAACTCACTGCTGCCTCCCTGCCTCCCTCAGGGGGCCACAGAGCCCTCTTGCCAGGGCTCCTGGTTTGAAATAAGCAGCCCCTTCTGCAGGAAGACTGGGAAACAAATGACCCCAGACATAATAAAGATCTTTACAGCTACTCCCTAGTCAGCCAACCTGGCTTAACCTTTCCTTAACAGGATCCTCTCTACATCTCAGGGACGACTTTAACTGGGCTCATGAGACTGCTACAGTTTTCATTTTTTAAATACATGTCCATGCTGCCTGTCAATTTTAGCTCTCCCACGCCTACATGGAGAGATCCCACTGGAAAGCATTGACCCCTTGTGCCAAACTTTGCATATGAAGTTTTTGGCAGGAAAAAAGCCTTTTTTTTTTTTTTCTTTTCTTTTTTGCCTCTGAAATACTGTTTGCACTGTCATGGCAGGGGAGAAGTTGGTTCCAACAGCAGGTAGAGAAGCTCTGAAGTGCCAAGTATGAGCACACCATCGATGCAACCTTCAAGCCTTTGGCATGGCCATGTAGCACCTGCAGAAGCAGCACCCAAAGGGGTCCCACCTGCTGTCCACCCACATCCATTTCAATCCCACAGGACAACCTGCTGCTCTGTTCCACAAGCAGCAGAGCCAACACACAACAGGAATCCACCGTCTCTAATGCCACAGCCAAGAGCAGCTTAAAATAAACCACCCAGTGCAGGGCAGCACTATAATCCACAGGGAGGAAGGACAGAATAGAAGTATCACTTGTCTGATTTGCTTTGTGAAAACTAAAATTGAAGAAAACTGCAAATCCCTGAAACTTGGGGAGGGAGGGAAGAGCAGAGAAACAATTTCATTGCCAGGCTATTTCCAGCGGGAAGCTGGGAAAAGGGGGACCGTGACTCCATGTTGCACTGAAGGATAAACCTGCTCTCTCTAATCCAATTTATGCCTCAACGTGCCCAGCACAAGCCTGGCTCAGGAACAACAGGAGAGGCAGTTCAGAGGGCAGGAAGGCTTGGGAGGGAGAGGCACTAAACGGTAACTTGAGGGTTTAGTGAATAAATGAGTGGGAACTGCAGAGAGAACACATTTGCATCTCTTTCAGCTGCTCCCGATCAGATGTGATAGCAGCCTCTGCTTTCCCAGTCACTTAATTGTTCTGAGGTTTTTGAGGGAGAAAAAGTGTCTTTTTTTTTTTTGGCTCTGCAGAGTTCTGGGAAGAGCCACACTTGGCTTAAAGAGCCACCTTACTTTAGGGAAAATGTTATTCAGCCTCATAAAGCTGCTGGACTCCTGCTTTGCTTCAGGAGAAGCTCAATCTGTTCCACTGGCTCTGCAAGACAGAGAGGAGCTCCAGGCCTTTTGCAGGGGGACAGACCCAGCCTCTGACTGCTCCTGGACGTGGGTGCAGCTCCCACCCCAGACAACTGCTCACGTTGCAGAACAGACTTCGCATTTGGGGAAGAGGGAAGGAGCTGTAAGGCTGTGACAGCATCTGCCACGAAAAAAAGCAGCAGGGAAAGGTGATCCCGAGCTACAGCTTTGCCAGCTGTGCCTCTGAGAAAGCTGTGCTTTGAGGGGAGTCAGCCCAAAAGAGCAGGGATGTGCCCAGACAGGAGGTTTGGCTTACCAGGGGCACGGGTGGCAGCGTCGCTGTCGCGCCCGTCGGGCGGGTGGTCGCTGTGGCAGCTCTCCGTGGCACTCAGCTCGGCCCCCTGCTCGCTGCCCAGGCTGCTGTGGCTCCCTGAGAGCGTCAGGGAGTGGGTGCTGCCCAGAGCCCTGCCCACTGCCCGGCTGGGCTCCCTGATGGGCACTGCAGGGACACCCAGAGATGCTGCTGAGGGAGAGAGAAGTGAGTGAGATCCTAAGAGAGCAGCAGGCTCCCTGCTCCCAGCCAGGCTCCCTCAGGAGCAGGGTCACCACCCAGCTATAAAGAGCTGGCTGGAGATGTGCAAAGGGCAGACCCTGAAAGGCTGCAGGCAAGAGAATGACCCTCCAGCTGTTTGACCCATCGATACAATTCCAGTGAGAAGGGATCAGACCCTCACCTGGCACTGCTACAGCCAGTAGGGCAGGCAAGTGGCTGAGCCAAGACCCCCAGCACTGAGAGGCAAACATTCAAGCACTTTACACTTCCTGCCCTCCAGCCACAAGGAACAGCAACTCCTCACCCAGTCCTGCTTGGAGCTTTCTCCTTTGTGAGCCTTTTGACCCCAGAGGCACAGGCTTGTCATCCAGGCTGGAGGAACTGAGCTCCGAGTCGCTCTCACTGTCACTGGAAACCACTGCAGGAAAGATCAGGGGGAGGAGAGGAGAGAGACAGTTATTCACAATGTTCATAACACTTACCAAAGAGGGTGCCAGATGGATCCAAATAAAACATGAACAAACTCTGACTCGCTGATCAAGCTTCCCCCACCTCTCCAAAAGGAGCCCTACCTGCACTTCCCCCACAGCTGTTCACTCTGCCTCTCAAACACGGTGTGGTTTTACTTTCTACAGATGATTTATAACTCTACTGCACACACTCCTGTGGTGCCAGCACCTGCAGCAGATGCACACACCACGGGTGCTTCTCTCCTAAACCTGACCAGGATTGTGGGGACCACAGTGCTACTGTCCCACATTTTGCTGTGGTGTGGCTGGCCTGGAAACTGGGCTCTGCTCCCACTGACCCCTGTGCTGGCCCCTCCTCCTGATGTTTGCTGTCTCCCACACAAAGTGACACTGGGTACGAGGCTGGATCCTGGTCAGCTGCAGGTGGAGGGTCCTGCCTGCACCATCAGAGCATCCACGCTCGGGTGATGTGGGGAGAGGGGTTGGCTTGCTCCAAGCTGCATTTCAAGTGCAGCAGGGCCTCTGTGGAGGCTCCAGGATCTAAGAGGAAAACACCAGATAAATACTGAGCATATCAAATCATCCCTATCAGCAAACTGCCCAGAACTACATTACTCCTATGACCCCAAAGCTTAAAAGGTAAGAGTCACTCCTCTTCCTCAAGGAGACTGTTCTCCCATTTCAAAGCCACTTTTTTAATCAGTTTTTTTTCTTCTCCCTGAATCCTGGCCCTGGTCCTGGCTGCTTTCCACCCTTCATAGTTTCCACAAGAGCTGAAGGAGCCTCATTTTGCCAGACACAGCTTCCCAAACTGGCAGGTTCTTTCCACTTTTCCATGCAATTATAAAAGCACCTCTCCTGCTTATACTGGTGTAAAAGATAACTGCCAGCTGCTCTGGAGAAAATGAGAAAGGTGTTTTCCTAAGTCCTGGGTTTTTGTAATGGTCTGATCTAAAACCAGAAATGATGGGGCTGAGGAGGAAGGTAATGGGAAAACAACTGTCTTTTGTTTGAGGGATTGCACCTACAGCACTTCTCCATCTGACCAGGCAGATACCAGCTCTCCTGGCAGCTCAAAAATCATCTCAGAGGTCACAGCTCCTGGCAGAAAGAACAGTACTGGCCCACGTGGGATAATATAACAGGCAACACTGCAACCTACAGCCTTTACTGTAGAAAAAGGAAGCTCCAACTACTTTGTTAGACTCATCAGTATGTCTTTATAAGCTCACATTCATGTGAGAGGCGAGTTCCTTGCTCTGCTATTGAACAAACCACTTTGCCCCCGCTCTGTGTTACTCACAGTGCAGGAGGAATGTGGGAGCAGTGGTACAAGGTGACAACCACGGGGTAACACAGAGCTGTCAGTTCATCTCTCTGTACCAGCCCTAAAATTCACTACACGTAGTTCACAAACCCTTTAGCACTCCCCAGGGCAGGAGGACAGGTATCCCTCCTCTTGCACAGAGCACAAGCTGTCAAATGTTTCTGCCAAGGACCTCTGCAGACACTCCTGTATTCAGGCAGGGATTTGTACTACACAAAATATTTTATTTAAAAAAAAAAAAATTAATACCTAAAGTAGCGCTTTTCTGGAGTTAACATCTCTGAGGATATTAAAGTTGGCTGCCAGTGTTATTGCAAAGCGTTATTGAAGCTGCCCTGGCAGGCAGCTCCCCATGCACACCCTGCACTGTGCAGCCTTTCCCTGGCACTGGCTCCTCCTGCACCCACAGCCTTCCCCTCCCACCATCATCAGGAATGGGACCTCTCACCTGCAGGGAAAGGGAGCTGAGCTGGGCAGGGACTGAAGCCCTGTTACAAACTGGGGACTTGTAATGCTGGCTGAGAGTCCTCAAAGCAAAGGTTTGACTTTGTTGCCTTAACAACATCTTCGCTCCTTCCCCAAAACTTCCTGGGAGAGGTGGGGGATTATATATAAAAACTGTTAATAACAATCCATACATACCAGAATGCATTTTTTTTTTCCACCATAAAAATCCTAATCCATAAAAATCTTAGCTGTAAGAGTCATTCTGACCATCCCATTGCTCAACTCCCTCAGAAAATGAACTCCTGTTCCACTTAGTCATTATCCCTTTTTTGGCCTCAGAGATGCATAAAATCCATTGCTTTAGAACAGCTCCTTCCTCCATGAATCCTCTCAAAATGCTGGAAGTCAGGATTTATTTGGAGAAGGCCCCAGTGAATCAGTGGAGGTGACTTTAGCTGCCTGCCCTTCTGCCATTCAGCAGTTCAGAGAGAACCAGCACAAGAGGAAGAAAATATTAATGACACGAAGGCACTCGCACCACAGGAGCAGCCCTGTCTGCTCTCATTTCCTCTGCTGCCAATAAGAGTGCATTTTACCCACTGCACCAATGTTTCCCTTTAAGGTAATTCTTCATCCAAAGCTTCCAGACCTTCTGCTGGCACTTTCCAGAGCCCAGAAGTATTAAATCTGGTGTTCCAGCAGTTGCTGATATATCAATAAGAGTCGTTGGACAGCTGTACTTTGAGAGAAGGGAACAGATTTATCCCTATCTCCAGCTGACTGGAAAAAAGCTCATAAAAAAAATATGCTGAGATAAAACTTGCTAGAAAAGCAGTATTCCCACAGGGAATGGGTCACTCATCGAGGGCCTGAAGCCCTGCAGCTGCTGGCAGAGCCCACGATCCCTATGACACGTGGCTCAACCTCCAAGCCAGAGGCACCAGAGCCTTGTGGCACAGAGAGCCACAGGGAATGGTGGAGAGCTGCTGGCTGCACTTAACCCCAGCAGCAGAGGACATGGGGAGGCTGTGCTGAGGCTGGGAGGAAGGAGCATTTGGCTGGGGCTGAGCTCCTTTAGTCAATGTGAGCACTTGGCACGGGCGCGCACTGGGAAGAGCCAGCCACGCTCCCTCCCGCTGCCCAGCACAGGGCAGAGCTGAGCCCCGGCACACACCGCGCTTGGCAGTTCCTGCAGCTGTCAAAAACACAGGAAAAGCACATGGACACCCTGCAGCAAAGAGCTCCAACAGCCACACAACCCCCAGCACAGCAGAGAGGCACCGGGTGAGCGGGCTGAGCACGAGCCCCTGAGCACACGGATCCCCTGCGGCACCCGGAGCGTTGGCACACACAGCCCTCTGGCCCCTGCGGGGGGAGAGTCAGAGATGATGGGTATTAACACAACCCCAGTGTCTCACTGAGGGCAGCTCCTGCACTGGATCACACCCAGCACTGCCCACAGCTGCAGGAACATCTCCAAGCAGGAGGAGGGGGCTGCACTAAACCGCTCTCCCTTTCAGGAACAGCACAAGTTGCAGCTTTGGCACTGTCCAAAGTTGTTGGCAAGTTGGAGGACCCCCCCTTGGTGGCCTGCAAAGCTGTCGACATGCCCCAGCACACTCCCCTCTGCTCCACCACTCAGGGATTTGGCCTCCAGCACGCAGACACTGGATGAACCCACTGCATCCCCCTGCTCATCCACTGTCCAGTGCTGCCACCAGCGCCAAACCCAGCACCTTGCATTGCTTGGCAACACAACTGGAACATGAGAAACCATCAGAGACAGAGCAGAGCAGCAAGCAGCCCTCATGCCAAACAGTACAACAGCTCAGGGATCACCTTTTTTTTTTTTTGTTTTCCCCTCATCCAGATGCTTTCCATTTTATTCTTCAGAACTCAGGGTCTGGAAGAAGGAAAGCCCTGCTGCTATTGCTCTCCACCCCCCTGACGCCCCGTCCTGCCTGACCCGGTGCAGAATCCCACCCACATTCCACCACATGGAGCAGAGCTGTTCCCCAGCACCAAGAAATATTACTGCTGTTCTCCCCGTGACAATACATTTGTGCCTTAACTAATAGCAGAGTTCCCATGGCAACTGCTTGTTTATTACAGAAAAACTATAGGCAACAGCAAATCCCAGTGTCCATGAGCACAAGAGGAACACTTGGGTGTGCAAAAATAAAACTTCATCCTGGTGGGGTTGGTTTTTTTTTTCCAAGAGGCACATTCCTGTGCTCCCTTGGTCCTGCTGCCTTCCTTCCCACCCTTCTGCTGTGGGAGCAGCCAGTGCCCAGCACCTGGCACTAATCCCTTGCTTTTGAGGGGGGAAAAGGCACACTTGAAGCTTGTCCCATCCCTACTGAAAGGCAGCTCCTGGCATGGAGGATGTCCAGGGCTTGTGGTAGGACTTGGCTGTAGCCTGTGCTGGTCCCACCTGACTTGAATCCCTCAGTAGCTCAGAGACAACTCCTTCAGCACGTTGTGGGTGAATGGAGGGGTTAGACATGGTTTCCAAGATAATGGAAACCCCATGGAGAGCAGCCTGTCAGAGGCAGGCATGTTAAACGCCAGAGCTCATTCCCGAGACCATCCTGCCAAACAAGCAACAAACAGGGCTTTCCTCAGCGCTGAAAGGACGTGTTTGGACGAGGGTGTACAAGGTGTGAGCTGACAAATGCTATCAGCCAGGCTGCCTTGTTAGTCAAGGCCTCAGAAAGCTCAGCCCAGGCCCAGTTGTGGATTCACTGTGTCATGGATGTTCATCTCCACGGGGGAAGGCGGCTGCCCTGCACATGGCAGAGCTTTGGGGTGACAAACAGCAGGAGCCCCAGCACTGGCAGGGGGAAAAGGGTTAAATGGAGGGGTGAGGTGTACGAGCTCCCAGCTCCAGAGATGAATTACAGCCCGCAGTGCCCACCGAAAGCTGTGCAGAGGACAGGCAGCCTAACAGAGAAGGGCAACAGGGAAAGAGAGCAACCAGAAAATAAAGCCATAAATTAGTATTATCCAACCCATAAAACAGCAGCCAGACAAACATCACAGGGCAGGGAGAAAGGCAGCTCGACACCCACATAAAGGCTTACCAAAGGTCACTTTGCTGTCCTCCCCCTGCTCCTCTGCTGCCTTTGACAATATTTATGGGGAGGCCTTCTCCAAAAACTAAACTCAACTAAAAAGCTGAACTAAACAGCAGGTCAGTTCTGGGCTCAACAGCTTCGACTCCTAACATTTTCTGTATCATGTTAGCAAAAAGCAACCTCATCAATCAGTCTCTTTGCTAAGACAACTCCTTCCAAGCATCTCCTGGAGGGAAGCACAACCATCTACTGTCGATCTAATTTGTTTTTAATTACAAAAGTTACAGTGGGGCTGAGAGTGCATTCCTAGCTGGGGCCTGAAAAGAAGGTTTGTAAACCCAAGTCTCCCGAGCCCTCTTTATTAAAACGTTATTTCCCCCTGCACCACTGGTAAGTGGAAGAGTGCACGGGCTGGTTCACTGAAGAGAACTTCTCCATCTGAGGGGATCTCAGAGCAAAAGAAGGGGAGAGAGGCCAGACAGTTCTGCTAATCCATGCCAGAAAGAAAGGAGGAGGAATCAAAGCAGACTGGCTGCAGCCCTAATTCTGCAGCACTCAGCCACTGCTGTGCTGATGACCCCGAGCACTCGGCTCCCCAGTGCTGAGCTGCTGTGTCCCCCCTGCTGGCTCTGGGCACAGCACTGGGCTGGGGGTGTGAGCAACAACTGGGTGGGCAGATGGGAGAGAGGGGGAGGAAAAGCCCTACAAGGCAGTGCTGTGAATGGGATCTGACACAAGATGCGATACAATGGTCTGCTTCAATCAAGGTCTCCCCAAAGAACAGAGACGTGAGTGCTGGAGCGGATAAACCTTCGGGCTTGTCAGTGCTCCGGCCTCAGCCCTGCACAGGGCCAATCAACAGCTTCTCCAAGAGACATTTAAAGAACAACCCAGCCTTGAGCTCTCCATGCTGCAAACCTCAGCCCCCTCCCCAAGGCCTGGGGACAGAGCTTCACCCTTCCCTGACACCTGCTCAGAGGGTCAGGTACAAAAGGACACAGCCAGTATCAGCTCTCTCCTGCCCACTGGCTGTTAGAAGAGTGTCTCTGCCCACTTGCTCCAGGCCCCAGGAAGCCTCCAGCGAGATGCTGGTGGTGTATTTTCTAACTCATCTCAAAGCAGTTTGAAGGATCTGCCCAGGGATGTTCTGCAGAGCAGCAGAAGCAAGCAGCAAGCAGCCCCAAGGAGGGAGGAATGAGATCAGCCTTTGGTCAGCCTTGGCTGCACAGCAATGTCCATCAGTGGCAGAATCCCAAGGAGTTCAGCAGGAGCAGCTCTTTGGGCTGTGACTGCAGACAGGTGCCTCTTTCACGGCTCATCCCTCCCTTGGCAGTCCCAGAAAAACAGCGGGGGCTGCAAGGAACGGAGGAAAGCAGGGATAGACTGAAGGAACAGGAGCTCAGGAGGACTGGGACTAGTCTGGGCCCTGCAGTTACCTAACAGTGAACACCAAAAAAACATACCACAGCATAAAACCCCAGCACAGCCCACACGGGAAACACGCCACACCTTGCGGGATAACCCTCAAGGGCCTCCCCCATTAGCTAGAATTCTGCTAGCAACAGTAGAAGCCAGGTCCTTCTCCCACCTGCTTTTTGGGCATGCAGCAGACAACTCACCTTTTCCCCTGGCCCAGGTGAAGGATCGGCTGGTCCCGACGCTCTGCGACTCCGGCACGGCCGGCTCGCTCTGCCACGGCTGCGAGTGCAGCTCAATGGGTTTGCTGCTGCTCTTCAAGGGCGTGATGTACTTGGGCAGCCCTTTGTAGAACCACGCCCCAGACCTCTTCCAAACCTGCCAGAGACAGAGACACAGCACCTTAAGCCTGGGGTTTTTACAGCATGAGAGCACAACCATCACAAAATGAGCTGCCCACTGAGCTCAGCCCAGCCATTCCCTCTGAGCTACCTAGACCCCACTCAAACATGGGGGAGTCAACTCTTCCAGCTCACAGAGCCCAACAGTTCCCCTGCAATCTGCATCTACTATAGCATCCCAAATTCCTCCTCAGTCCTTGTCAGCCCAGCTTCACCTCGGTCCTTCTTCCACAACTGAAAAATGACAAATGGGAATGAGCAGCAGGCACAGACTGAAGGAGGGGCAGAAGGTGATCGAGCAGAGCTTCTTATGTTCTCCAGGTCATGACTGGATGTTTCTCTGATGCAGTACTTGAGTCAAATACACATCCCCAGGCTTACCACACTGGGATGTGCACTGTCCTGCACTAAGGAGGGAGCAGGCAGGTGCCACAAGTGGCAACAGCCCCAAGCACATGCTCTGCTTAGAGTGAAACAAGTCCTGCACTGGCTGGAGGAGCAGAAAGCCCTGACAAGTCTCTCTTCCTGGGAGGGGTCCCTCAGCCTGGGTTGCTTTACTTCTGAGAGTCAAAGTCTGGCAACAGCTGGAGAAGGGGACAGCAGAAACGTCCCCTCATGTTGTACCGAATGGCACAACCTCAGTGTTCATCTCACAGAGCAATTCAGGCCAAGCCAGATCATTTAACAAGCTTGAAAACCCCAGAACAAGAAGAACACCACTCAAATAACCTGAACCTGCAGCAGGAAATGGACTGTGAGCACTAAGCTGTAATGTCTCCTGTAAGAACAGCCTCTCCTCTCCAATTTAGTTTTAATGCAGCTTATGATGAAGGTGCTCTATTAAGTATATTTAATATAAAGCCTGATGTGAGCCAGAGGAAGGGAAAAGGGTGGCAACTCAGACAAGGAGAAATGGCCTCAACAAACCTAATTCTTTTGTGCCTTCCAGCAGTCTAATAATGTGCTAATGAGACAACCGGGGCAAAAATACGTTAATATAGTAAAAATATCATTTTTTATTTCATGCAAGGAGGTAGAAACCTTGCACTTCTGTTCAGAGTGAAGATCAGTGCTTTCACTCCAAGCTCCCAAAGGATTTTACAAACAGTATCACCATTATGGCAACGGGTGCAAATGCAGATCCCCCTAATTGCAGCAATACATTCATAATTTGCATTTAGGGCTTGATCAGAGGGCAGTGACAAAACCTGGCCCTCAGGAGTTCCCCTCATGCAGGCACAAAAAGCAGGACACCAGAGGTCCCATTTCACTGATGGGAGGAGATTGCTCAGCAGGCTGCCTGCTTCCTTGTTCAGAGCCATCAACACAGAGAGCTCAAATCTCTGTGTTTGAGGACTCGAAAACCAAGCGAGGGCAATTTGAACTCAGGGGGGAACCTGATAGCAAGGTTTTTAAAAGAAGAGCACCCAGCAGAAGACAGCAGAGCATTGCTGTGACCCAGCACACACATCAGTTACTGTAAGGGTGCAAGAGAGACACTCGTGATTTAGAAACCAGGAGGTGAGAGCACCCTACAATTACACCGACATTTTCCTGCTGGGTAACAACCCAGAAGGATGGTGAGGCTCACATCCAAGCAAAAAGCCGGGAAGCCAATTTCCCAAGACTGCAAGTTCTTCTACAGAGGGGGTCTTGGCAGGCAGGACGCTTTACCAGCTCCTTCACCACTGTGCCAACAGCCAAAACAGTGACCCAGCCAGTCAAGGCACAAGCTGACACAGCTCCTTCTGTCCCCTCTGCCAGCACGTGGGGACTGCACAGCCTTTGGTACAGTGTGTACAACAGCACACGTCAGTGCAGCACAGACACCCTGGAGGAACAGGCTCTTCTATCCCTGCAAACTCAAAAACTGGGAAATGCCATGTATTCTTTAAGTCTGGGACGGACAGCTCTGCGTGGAGCTTAGCCCAGTGCAACTCAGGTAAAGATGCACCATGCAGGAGCTGCAGGCTGGGTTAAGCCCTGGTCTCCCTCAAGTGAGGAAGGCTGGGAGCCCACAGGACACAGTGGGAGCACAAGGACAGCACCCCAAGCAGTGCCATGGCTTGAGGAGAACAGGTTGCCCATCCCCCTGATGCTAGGTGGGGAGCTGGGGCACACGCACCTCCCTCTACAAACTGCTGGGGAGGAAACAACCCTTTGGTACAGTCGTTCTCTGAGCAGACCTTGCAACATCTGTAATTTAATTTGAGGCACTGGAGAGACCTATTATCTTCAGGCGAACTACAATTTAGGCACACCATAAAACCAATCAGACACAGCACGGATGGCTGCAACAAAGGCTGGTCGCCCCCCGGGTTTCTCACTACCCCAAAGCAAGTCGTTATAGAAAGAGTTAATGATATAATACACCCAGCTCTGATGTGGTAATAGTAGTATAAAATTGATTCTCTGCATACATATTCGCTTTAAATTGGTGCCTCTAATAGAGTTTGGTCTTATTACAGCAGCACTGAAATCATTTTGAGATCAGCTCTAAAATAGCTGCAGCAAGATGCTCTCCCCCTGTATGAATTCAGTCCCTCTGCCACCCCAGTTTAGCAGCACGGCCCATCCCAAAGCACCACGGATCACGTTGTGTTCTGCACATGGGCACAAGGGTCAGTTTTAGTACCCATGCATCAAAACAGATCGATGCTGCTGACTGCTATATGGATGGCAGTTTGACTGATCTCAAGAGCGGCCTTACGGCAAAACTCTTGCTTGATTTTAAATTAATAAATCTGTAGTGGCGCTTCAAGAATAAAACTCCTGTTTATTAGCAGGAGCTTACTCTTGCCAGGGAGGAGAGAATGTTGTTCCCACCATCCCATGCCCCATGGCAGCCTGAGTTTGGGTGGAGCTGCAATTTCACCAGCCAGCCCCTTCCAGTCTCTTGCAACAACCTGATTTATGGAACACTGATCACCCTTGCTCTGAGTGCTCGACAGAGGGGAGTAAAGATCAGTATCTGCATTACTCCAGATCAGGATGGGGTGGCCCTGTGTGTGGCTCAGGACGGAGCAGCCACACCACAGTTCATCGTCTGTCCGTGGCCCTGCGCTCAAACTGACCCAACACAACCAAAATCCACACCAAACACTGACTCCCTTCAGGCTCCTTGTCCTTCTGCCTCCCCTGACACCTAAATTATCCCAAAGCAAAGCAGGGGAGGAGAGTTAACTTCAGCGCCACACTCCTTTTATTACTTCAAACCAATTTAACAGCCACAGCCATGACAAGTCCAGGGAGCTCAATGCCTTTTATAACCATGATAATATTCCTATTAAAGTTGCATCAAGCCATCATTACAGCTACAGGATGAGACGTGCAGAACCAGATGTGTATTTTATTGAGCACTTTCAGGCGCAGCCTGTAAATGGGACCTAACAGAGCATTGCTGGGCCCTGGTGAAAACCCACATTACTGCCCAAACTTCTCTGAGCATACAAGTGCTGGAAACAAGCTCCTAAACAGGGAAAACATTAGGACTTGCTGATGAAGGGACTGGATCACAGCTGAAGGAATCATAACAAACACTTGCAGCCCCCCCAGAGTTCTCTTCACCAAAACCATGTCCCCTAAACAGAGCTGCTTTTGCTGCAAAGCCACATTTCGCTCCACCACCTCCTCCTTGTGCCACATGGTTGCTGTTCCCATCCTGCAGCCCTTCACTTCACAGCAGCCCAGGCTTGGTGAGAGAAAAACCACTACCTTTAGCTTCCCATGCTGACACCAGCAATACTGCTCAACCCCCCAAAAGCTGGGGCAGCAGGTTCTCGTGGGCCCCAGTAAAGAGAAAGGCACCTGGAAGCACAGCCACCCCAGGAGGACCTCGCTGCCACTGCCTGCAGGCAGCACATGCCCACACACTCACTTTGTCCCAGCTCTCCACCGTGGCTCTGGCACGCTGCAAACCACTGGCAGGGAGAAAGAGCGAGCGCTCTCCGGCTTCGTTATTTGCATTCATCTTCTTTTCCATAACACAGAGATTTCCAATTACATTATTTACAGCAATCTGTTGTCAACTCCCACATTCAGCACTTGAGGACGAGGAAAATTAAAAGGCAGTGGAATTACTATTCGGGGCTTTGTTTCCGGAATAGCAGAATCTATCGCACCCCTGACCCCGACGTTTCTCAAGCTGCAGTGCCTGCCAGCCTTCAACAATTTGTCATTCCCCTTTCAATCAGGCCTCTTTTTTTTCCCCCCGTGGCTCTATTCTAGAGGACACTATTTTGAGTCTAACTGCTTGCCACCACCCCCAAAATAATATGGCAGAGGCTATTGATGAGTTCTTTCAATTGCAAACAGGTGCACATCGCTCCGATTCAATCCAGAGTCACCCAAAATAAACACTCCTCTCCATCAGTGTGGTGTTTTGCCAAGAAATCATCATGCCAGGCAGGAATAACCCTGGGCTATGTTGCTTTATAATGTTCAAAATGGTATGAGTATGTGTGTGTGTGTGAAAAGGGAAGCCCTGGGGGCAAAAGGGAGGAGATGACTCCGTTCCTCCCCTGCTTGGTTTATTGTGATAAACCGAGAAACGCAGCCAGCCGTGAAAACACCGTGTAGTGAAGGAGAAGAAATTAAAAGGAAAGTGAAGCAGAGGGGGCAAATTAAAACTTTGAACAGGTCCCTGATAGCTGATGCTCTCTTTCATATTCCATGGGGTTTTCAAATTAAAAAAAAAAAAAAAAAAAGCTCACTCTCTCCCCCCACTCTCCCGAAACCGCTTTCATTATCGCTACAATTTTGGATGTGTCAATTCAAATGTAAATGTGCACGAATGCTTCCAAGAGGATTTTAATTACGGTGATAGCATCGCTAATTATGGATGTATAAAAAATAATATATATATATATATATATTTAAAAGGGTAATTCGGGAAGGTGCTTTGCAGAACCTGGTGGTATCAGTCAAAACAAGGCTGTGCAGAGAGTTAAGCGGCTGGGCAGGGATTTGACAAAGCACAGCAGGTCCCTTTTCCCCTTCAGGCCAGGAGGTGACAGGCAGGCTCCAGCCACACGCAGCTAATTCAGCATGGGCACTGCTGCCCAAGCTGTTATCAAGCTCACGTGCTCTGCCAGAGGTCTGGCAGCAGGGAATCATTCCAGCTGTATATATATCCACCACTGCTCCTCCCAGGCAAGTCCTGCTCCTCTGACAGCTGCTGCCATAAGCCTGTTTCACTGGAGGACCTGCTCCCTTTCTGCCCTGCACTCATTCCCATGGGTGTTTCACTGCCACATTAGCAACCAGACTCACTGCAAACCCACAGCCAGTGTTTGCTGCAGGCAGGGATCAGCACCCCTATCATGCCACGGGATTCTATCCACGTGCAGGAACAGGACTGCCCCAAGGAGGATCAGCCCTCCGTGCTGTCTTCAGAAAGGCAGAGCAAGATCAAAGGCAAGAAAGGTGATGCGGCACATGGAGGAGGGAAGAAGGGAGGGAGTGTCTTGCCCTCAAAGCTGAACGAAAGCTTGACCAAATTTGCTTCTACCCTTGCTTGCAGGAACACTAAATCACAGTCCACATCTGCTTTTATTCCACTGCCCTCTGAAGACATTGCAGAGGAAAACAACCACAGAATCCTGGAAGAACAAAAGAGGGTTTTCCATAGCTGCCTCTGCAAACACCTGGGACAAGTGGCACCTCCAACAGGCCTAAAGTTCTGGCCTAAAGCAGGTGAGCTCTATCTTATCTCAGGAAGAAGAGATGCACTATTGATGCAGGGGTGTCTGCTGGTCCTTGGGGATGCTCTCTTTGCCAAGAGGAACATCCAGGCTCTGTCAGGTCCCTGCCACGTTAGAACACAGTACTTTCCTCCCGGCTCCTCTTGGCCCCTTGGAGACCCTCACGCTGCGCCCATCCCGCGCAGCAGCTCCAGCTCTGCCAAAGGCTCTGCTTTGTTTCTGGATGACTGGGATGCAAAGCAGCAGGCAGGGCCCATTAATCGCCTCCACTCTCCAGAAATAAGACAGTGTCAGAGCAAGTTGTTCCTCATCGCTATGCAGCACAGCCTTCCCAGTGGAGGTTTTCAAGGAAACAGAAAGCAGCACGGAACACCTCCGAGTGGCTGAGGCTGGGATTCCCAACGGGACCTGTGGACACCAGGCACTCCATTCCAGCTGAAGAACTGATCCAAACAACAGCTTGCTACTTCGGTCTTCATTTGACCCAGGCTAAGTGATGATTAAATCACCACTGGAGCCAGCTCAGATTCTGTCCACACGGCAAAAGGGGGAGATGACTGCCACATGTCACTAAAGCTGCGCTGGTTTAAATCAAGCCTGCAGGGACAAATAATAAAAAGGGAGGTGGAGGGATGAAAGCTCTGGCATGTAGGAACAATGCCCCACACTGCAGCTGTTAGCTGGTACATGGGAATGTCCAACCCCACCATCCTGGCCCGAGAGCCTCGTGGGACACAAGTGCTCCCTCAGTGCATGGCAGAGGCTAAAGGGGATGATTACAGTGCAAGGCTCTCCTCCCAGCCAGATGACGCTGATCAGCTCCAGCCAACACCATTTAGTCCACTTGGGTTTCCAAACGACCTCCCTTTCCCACTCCAGTGCCTGGCAGTCTCTCACTAACAGAGTCAAGAGCTTCACAAATATCATGCCCAAACAGCTTGAGCGGTGGTTTAGAAAAGTAGACAGCGATCAGCGCTGATGGGAATCACCTCACCTGGAATCACCTCACACACCTGGGGAGGGGGACTGCACCAGCATCAAACTCTCACCCACGACAGAGATCAAGTTTAGGTGCTGCCAGAGCTCTGTGGCCTGGGGCCAGCCTTCTTAAATTCCCTATTTTGTTGGCTAAAGGAGAACCTTGCTCAGTCATGTTGTGCACTGACAAGGGGAGAGAAGAAGCGTGACTTGTTACTCCATCACACAACCCTGAGTGCTCCAGGGCGTTCCTGAAGCTCTCTGCCTGGATTCCAGGAAACAAAATGGGGCTGATACCTCATCACCACACGTGGGATTCAGAGGTTAGACAGAAATGAGACTATCTGATCCCAAAGAGCAGACATCCATCTGCACTCATGGATAGCAAATATCACCTGCAGCAAAGAGCATGACCAAATGGGTTTGGTCCAGAGCAGATGGCAACATGAGACAGACCACAGAAACAGACAGCAACAAGGCACTGGTTGTGAACACAAGCTCTTAAAAGAGACCTGTTAATTTAGTGCATGCCCAGTAATATCATTACACCTGAACCAGCTTCAGGGGCTGCACTTGTACCAGCCATCAGCCTGAGGCCCAAGAGCTTCATCTCTTCCTCACACACTGAGAGAAGACCAAAGCCACTGATCAAAGTCACTTTCCAGGCATTTATTCTGATTTGCCTCAACTTCCTTGCCCTGGCTGACATGCCTCAAGGTTTCTGCTATTTCTCAAATCCCAATTCCCTCAAAATAAAGGCAGGGCACGTGGGAAGACAGAGGGTATTGCATGACTTGATGTCTGGCTGCGTGTCCACACTGTGACCCTTCCAGCCTTCTCCTGTTCAGGGCACCAGCACCATCATAAACAAGAAAGGAGACAGACCTGAACTGACCTTAAATAGAACTGAAAAACAAAGCTGAAGCTTAGATTTGGGAGGCAAGATGGGGCTATATTTTAGTTAGCCTAAGAAGGAAAGTTCCATCCTTTTCCATCAGGAAAGCACTTTGGTTGTATCTCAGGTTTCGCAGAGAGAGCGAGTGCCGAAGGTTATCGTACCCTCACACACTGGCCACAGGTAACACATACCAGACAGGTTAATATTCTCTGTCCAGTGACCAGAGTTCTTATTGTTTTTTGAAGAAATAGGATAAAATACCAGTTGTACAGACTGAGATAAATAAAAACCAGGAAACGTGGAAAAATAAACAGGCTAAAAGAAATAAAGTAAATTTTAGTCCCATACCCATTTCCCTGCAGAGCACAGAAAATACCTACTACACCTGCCTCCTCTCTATTTTGGGATCTCTATCTGGAATTCAAAACATCTGGATGATTCAGAGTATCGAATTATTATCAAAATCCAAGGAGCTCTGCCTGCCCTACCCACACTGCTGTTCCAAAGTTACATATCCCTCTTCTTACCTGAACACGGACTTAGCGAGTGCTCCCACACAAACAACCCCCTCCAATGGAAAACCCAAGCAATGCCAAGTTTCCACAACTAGGATTAAAAAAAAAAAACAAAACCACCTTCTGCCTCTCTAACACCTGCACAAATGCTGTCACCACACCTCACAAACTGACATAGCAGAGCACCCAGGTTACACACTTGTCAGAAACAGCTGCACTGGATTGAGGCTCAAGGACCACAAGCAAAACAAATTGATGGGAACAAGTGAAAATCTGTCTGTGATCACAGAACAAATTCGAGGACTTGGCCACAGAGCAGCGAGCCCTGGTGTTGGTGGAGGCTGGCTGGCAGACAGGAATTGAGGCAGCCCATTACTTTTTCTTGCAGTGTAAAGTTGAGGATGAAGGATATAAAAATGTAGAGACCTGCCTTGTAAGTCTCACACTGGCAAGTTACGGGATTTTTGCAGGCAGAGAGGAAAACAGATTTAAAAGCTGCAATCCTAGTTATTTTTAGAGGGACAAATATTGCAGTTATGCTCTACATCTCTGAAGCTGTATTAAAAAACCCAGTTAGCCGAGTTTATTTGCCACAGAGCCAGGAGGGAAAGAGTGTAAGGCAACAGTCTCTTTATGGACATGATTAGGAAAGTTCCACAAAGCCAAAGTTTTTCTCCTCCACCCCCTCATAAACCAAAGTTGTCACTACTGTGTGTGTTTTGAGCCTGCCTGGCCTCCAGCCAAGCCTCCCAAACCCCATCCCAAGCTGCCTCACAATAAGTGCCCAGGCACAGGGAAGAGCTCAGGCAGGCTCTGCACAGACTTGGGGCAGGCAGGTGAAAGCTGCTGATCCCCACTTCTCCACAGCTGTATTTTACCTCTCTCTGTTCACTGCAGATCTTGCACAACCAAAGAGGACGTTTCTGGGCTCCGACGGTTTCTATTCCACACTTGGTGCAAACTTTCTGAAACAAGGAGAGAAAAAAACAAAAATAAGAGGTGGTTTTGGCAACTCCCCACAGCCACAGAGCCCCTGGGAGAGAGAAGGTTGACAAAAACCTCTCCAAAGAGCTCTGTTTTGCTTTCTTTAGAAACCTAAACATGGCACAATGTTCTTATTTGTCCTGCAGAACCATTCACTGCAGGAAGCTGCTTCAGATCTATATGGACACGAGACAAAGGCAAATCTACAGCACAGTCCTTGACTCCAGAGAAAGAAGAGAACTGCACAGGTCAAATCAAACCTCATGAATGGTTTTCTTATTCCTCTGAATCCTAAACCCAATCTCTGTGGCATGGAAAGCAGCTGTAACCAAGTACAAGACTGGAATTCCTCTCCTCTCTTCCCTCACACACACACAGAGTTTTAAACCCCACAGCCTCCCCTCCAGGTCAGCACATGCTCCTTGCTGCTGATTTGTGGTGTTTAGGAAGTGGGCAGGACCACGTCTACACACACATTTCCTGAATCCCTGACAGCCCTTATTGCTGCACAAGGGAACTTTCATGTCTCCGCTGGCATTACAAGCCATTTACAACCTGAATCACCTAATATCATATAATGAAGCTGATGCCTATCAGCCTTGGCATACAGCTTGAATGAGAAATTGGATGAATTCTTTGATCCTCCCAGAGCAAAAGCCACTCGCAAAGAGGGCTCAGGAGAGCAAAACCTTGCTGAGAAATACATGAGAATTTGATATCCCCAGGTAAGGTCTTACATATCCCCCTAACCAGGTTCCCCTGAGCCTGGGGGTCTGTGTCCAGGGACAAAGGGCTCAGTGGCTCTCTCAGCCCTCAGAGCGCAGGTCTGGAGGAGGAAGGTGGCAGAATGATGGTACCTGAGGCAGTGGCACCACTGCATGAATAAACACCCAACTGTTTTTTGGACAGTGTAGTCCAGAGGAAGGTCTGTTCCCAACTTAGGCTGCACAGAAAGCAGGGAGGCACCAGCAGCCCCACAGAGGTTGGTGCTCTTCTCCATCTTGCTGTTCCCATCCTCATTTTCACAGGGAAGGAAGGAAGGAACAACCTATTGGGTCTGGTGCATCAAAACTCAAGCCATGGGGGATTTGCAGATTTAGTTAGCAGACACCACCTGAGCTACCCCAAACTCTCCCTCCCTCAACCCAAAACCTGAGGGAGGAACTCAGTCCGAAATACCCTCAAAGATCCCAATCCCCACACGAATAGCACATTCAAACGCTCCCTCTAGTGGAAGTTTCCAACCGATTTTACTCCTTAAAAAAGCCATAAATTTTCCTCCTCCCCTTCTCTGCAGACTAACTGGAAAACTGAGCATCACTCACAACCCCTCAGAAGAAGACATAAAAATCAAGGACATTAAATGCAGACCCATCTCTCATTAAATACAAGACAAAGCACTTTCTTCTCCTACTTACACTTCACCTTTTATACATGATACCCTCTGCATGGTAAATGGCACACTGTGCTTTGTCTAGCTACTCCTATTAACACATCTGGATTTGCATGCATTCTTTGTCTTGCTATAATGCCTTCATTTCTAAGATAGTCAAAACTAATATTAAAAGCATTCTTCATAAAGCAGAATGTGGCACTTGGAGAACCCATCAGGCTACAAGAGATGCAAGAAGCTCTATTCAGCAGAAGGTGAGGATAAATTCTTTGCTGTGTTTCAGATGCATCATTACAATTCCAGTTATTGAATTAAACAAGCTGCAATGAGATGGTAACAGAGCACTGCCTGCAAGAAAAATATGATCTTTAAAAATCCATAATTCCCTGACAAATTGCTTCTTGCATACAGCACTGCACAAGTGATGGATGTCCCTGGACAAGAGGGAACAAGCTTAAAGTAGGAGTTCACTCTGTGTGCTCTGCTGGAGGGCTGACTGTTCCCTGAGTTCACTCCACAACATTAAAAAGGAGTAAGGGGAGAAGCCCAGGGCACTCAGGCAGCACTCCCCTAGGCTTGCACGCAGCTGAAAAGTGCAGCCAAGCTGCAAGCAGCTGCAAAATGCACACAGGAAAAGCAAGGTCTCACTTAAATCAACCTGGATATGAATGCTCCTGAACTGCCCAACAGACTCCAGACAAAAAAGGGAATAACCATAAATCAAGGAAAAAAACCACCATCCTTTCTCTGGGGTTTTCTGGTCACAGCCCTCCCAGAGCCTCAGGCTCATGCTCTGCCACCAGCTGGGGGTTCCACTCTGCAGCTGCAGATGGAAAAGGCTGGGAAGTGTCTGAATCACCTTCTGCCTCCTCAGTAGTGTACTGGGCTCACAGGAGGGAGGTTAGAAAGCCCTGTGGCAACGTGACCTAGCTAGTTTCTGACAAGGTGAGAGCAGAACTGCCAGGGGAAGAAGGCGGGAATACAGCACATCCTGTTATTCCACACGCTTGAAACGCAGGAAGCAGCCTGCCGTCTCCTGTCTGTCACCCACTCTCCACAGGCCACGTGCACACAGACCATGCTCCTCTCAGAGCTGCCCCACAGCTCCCATTCAAACCAGACCTTTCACTTCCCAGTGCTCTACTGCTGCTTCCTTCCCCACCCCTTCCTCAAGAGCTACTTTCTCCCTGGCTCAGGACCCAGGCGCGCAAAGATTTGCATTTCCTTTCCCAGGCACTGCCTTACAAGCAACCTTCTGCGCAATCCCTGCATCAGTCAAGCTACTTCTGCAAACTGGATCTGGTGGAGAAACCCACGTGAGAGCAGAGGCAGCACAGCTCCCAGCAGCTCCCAGCCCAGCAAGTGTGATGGGAGGGTGCTGGGACCTCGGGTCTGACTGCATGGGACACCCTTCCCTCTACCCCAAGAGCTTCCAGAGCAATGCTGCAGCCAACTGTGGACCAGTGCAGCCCCAGCCTGGCAGCCTGCTCTGCATCTCACTAACTCCAGCAGTGACAGCACTGAAGGTTCTCCACCGTGGCCTGCATGGCTGCTTAACCACAGAGGTGCCAACAGGCAGCACTCCACAGTAAAGCTGCAGGTTGTAGTCTGTGGGCTCCACAGGACATCTCCTCAGTGACAGGCTGGGTGACACTGGTAAGTGTCTCCTTGATGCCAGTACCCAACAGGGACAGAGTCAGCACAGGCTGCTCCTTTCCACCCAACCACCATCGAGTCAGAAACACCCCAGCACACAGCGGGTACCCTCACCCCTGCATGGGCAACACACTGAGGTGAGCAACTTACAGAGGTGTCTCCCCAGGGAAAGATGGGCTTCAAGTGCAGGAAAACCAGCCTCCCAGCAGAGGCAGGATAAGGTGGTTGCCTTGGAGATCATCATCTCCACAGCAATACAGATTAACCCCTTGGCTGCGGAGCCTAGACCAGAAGCAATCGTCCCTGGGGCGCTGGCAGAGCAGCAGTCTGCCTGAAAACTGGTGCCCAAACAGCACCCATGAAGTCCTGTTAACACACACAACACAGGCAGTCACTGGGGCACAGGGCTGGAAAACTCACACTGGTTTGGAATGCGAGGGTGGACTCGAGTTCTCATAGAGAGGCATGGCTGGAAGGTCTAAGGGCACAGCAAAGCTCACGGGCTCTGTTATGAGTTGTCTTTGATGACTGTACATTTCTGTCACCAAGTGGGAGATGCAGGGGGGGCTGAGACACCCCATCCCACTACTACGGCCAGTTTAGGTACTTTAGGGATCCTGAGGAATAAGACAAGCAAGAGAAAACCTGATGGTCTGACAGCACTGATCTACACAAGCGGGGCCAAATTAACTGTGCAGAGTTATCCAGCTTCCAAGAGGCCTGGCAGCCTTTCCTAGACAGATCTGCTACCAGGAACAGCAGGAACCTGTGTGACCAAGCCCACCTTTTTGCAGTCCTGGCAGAAGACAGCCGTGCTGCCCAGCAGCCCGAGCAGCTCCCCGCAGAGCAGGCACTGCGAGAGCCCGTTCCCCATGGCGTTCTTCCTCATGTTCTCCAGCCTCTCCACCAGGCGCCTGCGGGGAGAGAGGCAGAGCAGAGGTCACAGCACTCACCTTGGAAAGGGAAGCGCCTGGCACTGAGGCTTGCCAGAAACCTGCAGGCTGTGCTCCAGACTCAGCTCACCTCTGCCTCTTCCGTGCTGGGACCATATGTACCTTCCCTTCAGTGTCTGCACTCAGTGCTTCCCTATCAGCTGGCTCTTGGTCTTCAGGAGATGTAAACCCCTGTAAGCCCGTCTACCAACATTCACCGAGCTCAGAATAATCAAAGAGGGAATACCACAGAGAGGCCTGACTGAGCTAGTGGGCACAGAGCTCACACAAAGAGCTTGATCCTAAACGCTTCAGGGAGCTCAGTGTCACTGGGGCCACAGTCTCAGCACAAACATTTCCTGCTTGTAGAGCAGGGAAAGCTTTTAATACTCAGGGCAGGGCAAGTCAGAAAGCACCAGGAAAGGGCAGAGGAGTTAGACCTGCCAAGCCCTCTCCATTTTTACACGTCCCTGACAGCAGTGCTGCAGGCACATGACTTGCCCACATCCCATTAGAAGCAGGAAGGCCAGAGTGAAGCCATCAGACCAAAATGAGCCTGGCTGCAGTACAGGAATGCCAGTAACTGCTCTCTGCTTCGTTCCACAGCCCGCTTGGAAGGCAGGAAGCACATATGTATGCACAAGGTCCAGAGCAGCAGGACCAGGAAAGGGAAGGAAGGCAGGATAAGCAATTAGGATGCAGGATGTGGAGAGCATGCAGAGCAAGGCTGCTGTCATGAGATCACTGCTAGGCAATCTTCAGGCATCCACTTGTAGATGGGGACAGTAAGAGCCAGGCCATTTACCAGTGGCAGTGACCAGCCACAGCCACGCGTGTGCAGGAGGCTCAGGGAGGAAGTGATTCCTGCTATCCAAGCAATCCCATCCTCATTACTGCTAATGCCCCATCAACCAAGCCCCACACTGAGAGGAAGGCAAGGTCTGTTTGAAAGAGGTACTGCCTGTGGTGGTGAGGTCAGACTGCACAGCCAGACCGAGCCATCATTACTGGATTTATGATCCTCGACTTCGGCACAAGAGAACTCCCAGGAGTTAACAAAGGCATTTCAGAGAATGCTTCGGCAGGGGAACAGCTAGAGTGTCACTTGCTGCAGCTACACCAACCACCACACAGGAACAACCAGCTCCTCAGGGTCACTGGCTGCTGCTGGGGTCTCCCATTTATCACAAAAACATCACTGTCAGTTCTCGTTAGCCCTCATTAGCACGCTCGGCACAGGGAGGTGGAGAGGCAGGAAGGGGCCTGCTGTACACAGGGTGGGAGTCACTGGGGGTTCCTGTCTCAGGAGCACAGAAGCTGCTGGGAAATGCTACAGGACTGCCCAGCTCCCTGGCTTTAAGGTAGTGCAGGACGATCACAGACACAGCTGAGGCCAGACCTCCAGCAGGACTGAGAGCAAATGGAAATCTGCAGCAGCAAAAGGATGCCTGTAAATTAAATAATTCAAGCTAGCAAACCCATCCAGAGGGCTCAGCCAACTAGAACATCAACTCATTCACTGCTCCAGGCAAAATCCCAGGGGACTGGTGCAGACGAGGGAAAACCTGACTGCACTGCCAGCAGTGGCCTCTGAGCCATCCGTCCACTAGCACTGGGCATCTTCCCAGCCTCCTCCAGAGCCACTGGGGCAGCTGCCTCAGCACAGGCTGCATTTCCCAGGGACTGTGTCAGGGCTGCAACCTCGGCAAGCCCCGAGGCTCAAAGAAGGCGTGAGAAAGGCTCAAGATGTGGAGGGAAGGAAAACATCCCATCCTTCCCAACGCTGGTCACCTCCAAACAAGCGACGTGGGAGGGGAAAATAACTGACCAAAGGGATGCTTTGACTGATGGGGGCTGAGCTCAGGCAGGCGGGAGAGCCACTCCTCTGTCTGTGCTGACCTTTCCCTGGGAGGGAAGGGGACAAATGAACGTGACTGTACCCGATGCGCTGCTGCTCGATGATGTCCAGTTTCTCTGCCTTGCGGATGACTTCCAGAATGACCTCAAGTTCCTTCGGGCTCAGAGCCTGCGTCTTCCTCTGCTTCTCAGTCTGGAATGTGTGCACCGACCAGCCCGTCTGGAGCCTGTGGGAGGGGGTGGAGGGCAGGGCTCAGCTGTGAAAGGAAAGCACAAAACCCCTGCCCTGCCCCACAGGCCAAACCTGCCAGGCACGGACCCACGCCAGCCTTCCATCAGAGGGGCCTGTTCCATGAGTAACACCCAAATCAGGAGTCTCCTCTCACTGACCACGTCACTCCTCCAGCATCTCAAGTGCTCTGCTGTCTCTCCCTGCCCTTTCACTTCCCTTTCTGCTCCCGTTTGTATTTTACCACTCCAAACCCTCAATCCTGTTTGTCTCTGCCCAGTGCCCCTGGGAATGGCTACCCTGCTCCTGGGGGTACCCTTGCAGAGGGGGGTGCTGATGCCAGACACCACAAATGCCAACAGCAGACTCCCAAACACAGGGATTGCCTGCATCCTCCTCCCTCCGGATCACACGCTTCTGAGGTCCTCTGTTCAAACACACAAATCACTGGGCATGCTTGGAAATATAAATTTGGCAACTCCCCTGCTTGGTCTGAACCAGGTTCACACGAGGACTTCAGCAAACCACTTCCCTCTGTGCCTCACACACAGCAGCTGATGGTTCTCCTTGGCTCACTTAGTGACAGGCAGGAGCTTTCACAGCTCAATTAATTACCATTCAGGAGGGGTTTAGAGGTCAGTGGATAAAGTTATGGCTGCTACCAGAATACAGGGCACTCTCTGGCACAGCTGTCTTACTGAGGCTTTCAGGTGCAGGCTGGACAAGTGGCAGTGGTGTGCATTGTTCACAGCCAGGCAGTCCCCCAAAATATGGGGTGCCCTCCTATTTTCCAACACTCTGCACAGCAGGATGACCCCAGGGGTTCAGGCAAGAGTAGAGGTGGCAGTGGCATGGTACCAGCTGCCAGAGGAGGAAAGCATCCAAGAAAGAAATGCAGTTCTAGCGCTTGACTCATCTCCCTCCTTTCAGTCTTTAGGTTATGCAGCAATTTTAACTTCAGGGGAAAACGAGATCAAATGACAAGCTCCTAAAACAAAAGAGTGCTGCTGGCAGCTGGGGGATGCTATCAAATATATTTAGGGTGCTGCAGAGATACCAGCCTGCCTCCAAGCCCTTCCCTTCAGCCAGGGGAGGGCTGGTGGGATGGATTCCCACCCCACTGCACATTCCACTGCAGGCTGGCAGTCCCGAGCCCCAGCTTTGCAGGCTCCTGTCCCACCAGGCAGGGTACAGAGGGGTCTGTGTGACAGGAGAGCAGACCAGGGCTCCACACAGACACCAGGAAAGCACTCAGACCAGAGCTGAGGCTGGAAAGAGAGGAGGAGGGTGACAAGGACTCACTTGGCTCTCAGTGCCAGCTGCCGGTCGTTGGGGCAAACCCACTGGCCCGTCCCGCTCCCGAAAATCATGTCAGCCATGGCACCAGGCTGGGCAGGAGTGGCAGGGATCACACCTGGAAGAAGCAAACACCAGCTGTCATTCCACCCAGGGCAGCACTTGGCAGAGCCTCATTAACCACCCCAAAGGGCCACTCTTCCAGCAAACCAAAGGGAGGTGATCTGCTGGCACCTCACACAGGGGAAGGAGACAGACTCTCACCCACAGACAGCGATAAAAACATACCATCATCCTCATAAAATATAAGCTAATAAATATCTTGAAATACCTTGAAGGCAAGGCTGGAAGTTTAGATTTTATGGTACTCTCAAAAAAAAAAAAAAAAAAGCCAGACACTCTTTGTCAGTTCTGATTTTTCATTTCAAACTAGAGAAGAGCGTTGTCTGTAAGAATAATCTCTGCCTTCCCACCTCCAGAGCCCCAGTTCTGCAATTCTGACAGAGAAAGCCACGCTAAAAGGACACAAAGAAGCTACAGTTGCCTTTTTTTTTTTTTACCTCTTAATGGGGTAACAAACAAAAACCCACGCTACAATCAGCATGAATAGTGGCAAGTCATTTAGTTCATTAAAACTGCCTCCATAATAGCCTGATATTTATAACTACAGCCTACAACAGCAGCTTGTTTGCATTCTCTGATGCTGAAGACAGCACCTCTTGCAGCAGATCTCCTGCCGTGGCTCCTGTCCCCGGCACGGTCACACCAGCGATTCCTCGTGTTCAGTGACAGCTGCACCGTCAGTGAAGGCAGCAAGAGCCAACCTCTGTGTGCTCATGGGAGAAACATTCCCAGAAGAGACTCTGCAGCCAAGCACTTGTGAGTCCCACCACAGCAGCCTGGGTGAAGGGAAAGCACCAGGGGACAGGCACAGCCAAAACATTTCAACTTGATGCACCGAGCTTTTAACCTGCTGGATTTGCTCCCCAGCAGAGCGAGCATCTCACAAGCCCTAATGCATAAATTTCCACGTCTTAATACTTACCTCCCCCAGAACAGACACTTGCCAGCTTTGAAACCATACCTGCTGGGCAGAGATAACGTGTTGGATGCTGGTTGGCAAACAGAAATCAGATACAACGGCAGGAAGGTGCACCACCTGCCAACTGTGCCGTAGGTCCCGAGCAAACACTTGTTCCAGTCTCAATCCATAGCACAGTTACCCAGCAGTGCCTGTGGGTCAGTGCTGCACCTACCCTTGCTATCTGCTGCCCACACACAGAGCTCTCTGCGTGGAGATGCACGGAGGCATCACAGGCTGGTGGCCTTGGCCCTGTTACAGAGGCACACACACAGCTTGTGCACATCCCTCCCTCTCTGTGCTGAGCCTACACGTGCCACACTCACCCCCAGCACAGAAACACCAACCTGTGCCAGGGAACTGACAGCTCCGTCCAAACCAGAGCCAAACCAGTTACTAACAGTGAACCAGTTCTCTCCTCCCTGACCATCTGATCTTTGGAAAGAGTCTGAAAACTGAGTGATTGCAACAGGCAGGAGAGAAGAGGGAGAATTCCATACAGAGCACAGATTTCTTTCAGAGCAAGGGGACAGATGTATAAAAAGGGCGAGGGCTCAGCACAGCCTGAACTGGGCAGCAAAGTGAGGAATGGAGGAGATAGGAAGCTGCAGGAAAGAGGGTTGAGGCAGGAAGGACAGACAGAAGTGTCACGTTCAATTTTTTAAACCTTTACTACATTAGTTAAGATGATCACTCTTGAAAGGGATCATCCCTGGAAGAAATCCTTGAACCCTGGCACCTTCGATTTACCAGCTGCTTTCCCCGCTCTGCTCAGTGCTACACGTGCTGTGGGTTTGCATTTCCATTTGGTCCCAGAACACCTCATGCTCTTTTCATCTCCTTCACGATCTCAAGCGAGGAGAGAACACCTTCCCCACACACATCCCACAGCAGCTCACACACAGGGGAGCAATCAAGCATGAGCAGCAAAAGAATACAGCGGCTCCCGCCCCCGGGGCAGGGTTAGAAGAACAGAGAAGCTACAATTTCACACAGAATGGCTGGCCTGGGATTTTCCAGAGATTTTCTAAGCCTGTGATGTGTGGTTACAGGATTATATGCACATGTAGCCCCCCACACACATATGCATATATTAAATTACCCTTCAGCTACACCATGCATTCCTCCCTCCCACTCAGGCACACCTGAGGAACAGCACAGCCCACACTCTGCGTCCACTGGTGAGGCTCAGTGCACACAGCCACACCGTGAGCAGCACTCAGTGGCTCCGGGATGGATGTTTAGCATAAAAGCTGGAGCTGGAGACGAGCCCCACATCACAGTCAGGGCAGAGGAGTTTGCTTTGCCAGCAGCCGAGCTTTCAGGGTGGAAAGCTGTGCTGAAAACATCTGCCCCTCCTCAGCAGAGCTTTATCTGCTCCAACAGAGCTGAAGGCGAGTCAGAACAGAGCGCATCAGCTGAGCATTTCTCTCAGGAGAGACCTAAATGCATTCTCCAGCCTCACAGCACACTGAGCTTTGCTCAGCGTGACTGAACAAAAACAAGCAATGTCATGCTCTTTTGCCTCTTGTTACTCAGCATACGCTTTCTGTTCTCCACCATTCCCTGAGCACCATCTGAAAAGAGAGAAGGAATACAAAATACTGCCTGAAAAGCCATCATATCCCAAAACAGTCTTCAGGGAGATTATTCCCCAAAAATATTTACAGGAGCATTTTCTTCTGGCGGATGGGGATGTGCTGTTTCCTCTCATCTAAGTTGGCTTTGCACCTTTGCCTCTGGGAAAAGCCTGGTGGGGAGTGACACAAGCACCTCAGAGAAGGAAACAAGAATGGGACACGGTCTGCTGGGGCAGAGGCAGGACTGGAGGGAAAGGACTGTCTCTCATGGGCATGGGAATGATGCCAGAGGAATGGTACCGTTATCTGGAAGGCCTGAAGCATCCTCCCCCTTATCTCTGTACAGGACAAGGAGTACAGTGGAATCAGAAACATCAAGATAGCAAAACCACATCAGCCTGGGGAGTCATTTCCATGGACTGTGGGGAAACGTCCCTCTCTTGCAGTCTCTCAAAAATAATCCAGTTAGCACCTACCTCACCCAGCCATCCCCTCCCTCTCCTCCTCTCAACAGACTTAAGGAAGGGTAGAATCAGCCAGTGAGAGAGCAAGAGAAATCCACAGCTCCTGGCCCACCTGCAAGTACACTGCCTGCAGAACAAACTGCACAAGCACTTAGTGTTACAGCAAGAAAACGTCCCAGTCCAAGATTCTGTTTTTTAACTTGAATTCAGGATTAAAAGGGAGCCCTTATCGATATTCTATGACCTGCTTTAAAAGCGCTCCACCTGTTTGTTCCTTTCCTGTGATGGAGGAAGTCATGTGAAACAAAACCTCATTAAATCTGTGTCCACCTGGCTGCCCTTGGCACAGGAGCACAGGGGAGCTCTGCACAGAAGGAGTTCTGCCCTGCAGTGAGCCAACCCCTTCACGTGGGGCCTGGAGCATCCCTGAGGATGCAGAACCCAGCACATCCCTGCCTGCAGCTCTGATGTAGCTCTGCTTCTGCTCTCCCCATGATAAAACTTGTGCTCTTCAGCCAAAGCACCTAAGAACATAACTTCAGTCTGGGAGAGGAAAGTCTTCTGGTGGGGTCTGAGTGAAGGGAACAAGGGAAGGCAGACACAGCCCTTTGACTTGACTGCTCTTCAAAGAATTTCAGGCTCTTCTGTGAAAGAAGGCCATTTTCCTCAGCAGAACTGCAACGTGAACATCATGTATCTTTACCTCAATAACAGAACACAGTCACAGCAGGCCATGCCAAAGGTCCAGTGAGCACAGTACCTGCTATCTGACCACCTCCAAGAGCAGGTGCTTCAAGAAGAGTGTAAGACTAGAACACAACACAGCAATTCTTATCCAGAATACCCTGCCAGCCTCCAGAGACTCCTGGATCATTCACTCTGTGAGCCAGGCTGCAGCTCTGTATTTAACACCCCTAACATTTTTCTGTCCCAAATTTATCAGCCTGCTTTTTCAGTTCACGTACTTTCAGCACCATCTCCCTACAGCAAGTCCCTTCCCCAACTCCTCCACCTCAAACAAGTTTTTGGCCTTACCTTGACTACACCAAAGTTAAAACTGAAGGGTCCTGTTGACACTGAGGCAGTCACTGCAGCAGAAACACCTCCTCACACAGCGACAGCACAGCCTGCACCAGCCCTCCTGCAGCTGGGCTGATTACAGGTGCCCACCAAGCATTAATTCCTCAGAGCCCTGCAAATACAAAAATATCCCACACAGGCCCGTGAGGAGCTCTCCAGTCAGCTTTCATTTGCCTGGTTATTTCAGCTGAGCAGCTCATGTCCATAATAATTTGTTTTCATAGAAAATTAATTAGGCGATTTTTTTTAAGTACTTCATTTAAAAAAAAATCAAAATTAAACAGTTGGCCAGGGGACAAGTCCCCAACTCCCAAGCCGTGCTGTGCCGGTGTAATTAACCCTCCTGCTTCCAGGGCGTCACCTCCCCCAGGACTCCCAGTTTGCACCAGGTACCTGCTGGCCTGTTTTTCCTTTTAGCGGCTGCTCCCTCAAAGAAGCGGTGTAATTACTCTCTGCTCCGCGCACCAGACCCCATTATCCCCGGGAAACCGTAGCAACTAAGTGAGTGTTTGCTCGTGTTGCTATGACAGGGGATAAATGACTGGCGGAGATTGATAAGGTTAACCCAGCCCCTGCCTCCCGCCCACCCGCCGGTCCCTTTTCCTCCCCGACACCGGGGAGACAAGGGCGAGCAGGCAGGGAAAGGCTATTTACTCCAGACGCAAGTTTTCCCCCTCGTGTTTTAAAAGATCCCAGAGCCACGGTTGTATTTCAAAGCACACGGCTGTTCTGAAGCGACAGAATAACCCTCGGGGCTGTAGAAACGTGGCAGAAGACACGCACTTGACTTTGAAGATCTGGCCAAGTCTCAGAGCCAGAGCAGGGCAGGAGCTGTGCCTGTGCAGGTGCTGGCTGAATCAGGGCTTTATAGAAGTTTTTCTCACGCACAAACCACTTTGAACTGCCCATTCACACCTACATCTAGCAGTTCGTCAGCCCCTTCAGCGGCGCAGGAGCCTCCTGTAAGCATCAAAAAAGTGCTATAAAATGATTTTATAAGGGCTAAGCAGGCAGGAAGCACAAGAACAGCAGAGCCAGGTGATCCCCATCGTCTCCTGCTCCCCTCTCTCAGGCAGGGGCACACCTGGGCACAGCTGAGGAACAGCCTTTTGTCATTCCTTACAACAGCACAAACCCTCAATAGCAGAGGGAGAGCCAAGAGACACAAAGAATTGGATTGATCAGACTTGACTCGCAGCTCTGTGGCTTGGGCCAAAACCCAGTGTCCAAACAAACACCACAAAGCCTTGGCAAGCTTTGGGACAACAACTTAAGAACCCAATCAGACAGACTTTTTCCAGTCTGTCTCACCATGAAAGCTCAATCCAAGCAGCATCAGCTCCAGCAAAACAGGCACAACCTCGTTCAGAGCCTCATTCAGTCAATTCTGGTTGGCCCAGACCAAATTAAACACCAACTGGCTGCAGCACACAGCAACTGAGAGGTGTCATTATCACATCAGGCCAAGCTGGCAAAGGAGTGAGTGAGGATGAGGTTAGAGGGGAAAACAAAGAAGGTTTCTGTACACCAGAGCTGCTTCCCAATCCTGGCAGCAGCGACAAGAAGCCTAACTGCTTTTAGGATGGAGTTTATAAAGAGTTTATAAAAATACAATGCCCTGGAGGTCCCTGCCAGTCCTACAAGTGGGAAGATAAAATCAGCTCTGCAGGAAGGCCGACATACAGTACCAACAATCCTTTATTAATGAGAGGCACTTGTTAGTGTGGCTACTTGATATATGGTGAGATATAAAAAACCCCAGTTTTTGCCCAAGAAAATCAGTCTTCAGGGCCCCAGCACCCTGTGATGCTGGGGAGAAAAGCCAGCACTGTTCCACCTGCCAAGGTGTATCTTTATTTATCAGACTTTGGACTTATTTCCTCCTGATCCCCAGCCAGGCAGGTGCGTTATGCAAAGTGAATAATTCATGAAGACAGCAGGCTCTTTCTGACTCACGTTCTGGGGCAGGTTGATCTGGCATAGGCCTAGAAGAAGCAAATTAGCATCTAAATGGCCAATTAGAGAAACTCATTTCACTACTCTGATATGCTAAAAAGCTCAGGAGGCCTTAGCTGAGGGTTGGCGTGTGCAATCCCGCACCTCCCAGCCTCCAGAGAGGCATCAGGTTTCTTAGAAAGAATTGGACACAGTAGGGAGGCACTGGCCAGTGTTTGTCAAGGAATCCCTTGCAGAAGAACCACATGCCAGCCTGTTTCACAGGTAACCTCAAGTGAACCAGGAAAAGCACAGCTCACAGCCGGTGGAAGAACTCTGCTGAACAGCCTGACCCCAAGCCTTGCCAAAAACTCCCTGTCCAGCACAGCTCTGAGCCACAAGGCCTGCCAACACATCTGGAGGATGAAACAGCCTTTCCCAGCATCCTTAAGGTATAGTATTGGTTTTAGGCATCCTAGGAAGCCTTTGGACAACAACACAAGCACGGCCACTCCAAAGACCTTTATCTCCTTTTGTTGGTACAAGCAAAAAGAAAGTCATGGACTTTGACCAGGCCCTGGAGAGTACCTGATCCAACCTGAAGCACAGCAAAAACTCTGAGGGTGGGCACAGCATGTCATAGTTACAGGCACATACAACAGCACCATCACCCCGTGTCAGAGTGCCCAAGAACCATGGCAATCCATCCTCCATCAGGTGCACGTGGCTGTCCCCACCACAGGACACGCAGGAGCCCAACAGCAGCTCTTAAAAGCATGGCTGGTAATTTTTTCCATGGAGCAGGTCACTTTCAACCTCCCACTTCTGGCTTCTTTCCCCTCCACACCTTTGCCACTTACAGTCAGCTCCCTTCGGGGGGCTGAATTCCACCTGAATTCACAGAATGGCTGGGGTGGGAAGGGACCTCTGGAGATCACCCAACACCCCGAGCAGGCTGCACAGGACACATCCAGGCGATCAGCCCCGCGCTGCTCACCCCGCTGTTCCTCTCTCCGCAGCCTTTCACAGAGACTCTCCCACCTGTAGAGCGCCGGCTCTGAATGCCCAGGCCCCTCCTCAAAGCTCCCCGGTCCCAGCCCACCCGCACCCATCGGCACGGCCCTTTCCTTACAGTGACACGTACCTGGCAGCCGGCAGGGACCGAGCCCTGAAACTCTGCTCAAACTCCGCCCGGAGCGCCCCGGGCAGAGCCGCGCCGAGCTGAACTGAGCTAAACTAAAATAAACTGAGCCCCGCCCGGCCCCCGGCGCGGCTCCCCCCGCGCACCCACCTGAGCTCGGGCCTCGGTCGCGGCTGCCCCGGCGGGACGAGGCGGAAACGGAGCGAACCCGGAGCGCACCCGCACCGCCCCCGCCCGCCCCCCGCGCGTCCCCTGGCGGCCACCGGCCCGCCCCGGCCGTGCGGGTGTGTGCCGGGAGCGGGGATGCGTGTGCCGGGAGCGGGGATGCGGGCACGATGCGGGTGTGTGCCGGGAGCGGGGATGCGGGCACCGTGCGGGTGTGTGCCGGGAGCGGGGATGCGTGTGCCGGGAGCGGGGATGCGTGTGCCGGGAGCGGGGATGCGTGTGCCGGGAGCGGGGATGCGGGCACCGTGCGGGTGTGTGCCGGGAGCGGTCGGAGGGGATGCGGGCGCAGCCAGATGTGCGCCGGGACCTGTGCGGGGCTCCGGGCACCGCCAGATGTGCTCCGGGAGCGGAGCCGGGCTCCGGGCACGGATGTGCGAGTGCTGGGAGCGGCCATCGGGGCGGTGGGCACAGCCGGGTGTGCGCCTGGAGAGGCTGGCGAGGATTTGGGCACAGCCAGATGTGCGCCGAGAAGGGGTGGAGGGGATACAGGCACACCCAGATGTGTGCTGAGAAGGGCTGGTGGGGCTCTGGGCGCTGCCAGATGTTCGCTGGGAGCAGAGCGGGGCTGCGGGCACTGCCTCATGTGTGTCCCAAAACAGAGTAAGAACCCACAGGGGAAAAAAAAAAAAGCACCAAACTATAAACAAGGAAAGGCCGTACCAAACCAAACCCAAAGAAACCCTAAACAAAGATTTCCCCGGAACAATAACAAAAACCCCCACCTTCAAAACAGAAACAAACAAAACCCCCAAACACAAACCTATCCGAACAAAACAAACCTTCCAAAAACCATTAAAAAAAAAAAAAAAAAACCACAAAAAAACCCCAAACTCAAAACCTCGAAGTAAAACAAAAAAAAACCCCACCCAAATCTTAAGAAACAAACAAAACAACAACAACAACAAAATCACAAAAACGGAATTTCAGCACAAAAATTAACCAAGAACAAACCTGCCAGATCAGCCCCAGGACAGCCACAGGGAGCTTGAAAATTTTAAAACTGAAGGGTCCAAATCTGCTGAGTGATCCCAATAACATTTGCTGGTAACAGCAGCAGAATTTGGTCTTGTGAAGAGGCAAGCTGGGATCATACAGTGAGTCAACAGAAAGTCACAGGAACACAATTATTCCTTTGCACAAACCCAGGAACACAGAAATTCAGGCTCATTACTGTCTAAATGCCCAGTGGATGCTGTAAGTAAATTTACCATGTGACAGGAGGAAAAGAGAAAAGAAGATAAATCCTTAGCCTGTGTTTTCACTCTCTGTTCAGAGCCTGCTCTTGAGAAATCTGCAGGCCCTACAAGCCCCAGCATTTCCACACATCCACCAGACCTCAGGAGAAGCTGAGGGACCCTCAGCCACCTTTCACTTAAATGGAGTTCAAGTCTAAGCATATATTTTACTTTTTGGTTGAGGCAACTGTTGAAAAATACATCAGAGGAATCAGCTTGCATGAACACAGAGCCTGCATTTCTGTGGAAGAAAGCACTTGACGATGACATTTTGCACCAGGGCAGTTGCTCCACAGTCAATAATATAAATAAATTAAACACAGGGTTCAGCCAGCTTCAGGAAAAAGATAAATTACCTTATTTAACTACCTGTACTGGCAGGGAAATGACACACCTCAGAGCCTGCATCCCTTCTGCTGCTGAATTTGCTCATCAGGATCCTCATAGAACCACAGATGCTTCAGTCTGACTGCAAGGCTGGGCCCTGGTAACTGGAGTCACAGAGAATAAATACACCATTACATTAAAAGATATTTAAAGGCTAAATACGAGCTTGATCTTC